TTAAACGCCGCGGCAGTCAGCGTTGCTGCACCTCACCCTGCTGCTGCTGGGGGACAGAGCAGCAGCAGCTGGCGGCTCCCGGTGCAGCAGCAGAAAGCAGGGTGCGCAGCAGCAGCAAACGCAGCAGCAGCAGCAGCAGCAGCTGAGACTCACTAAAGTCGGCATAAAGCACCACCAGCGGTCTTGTGGGGAGATCTGCTGCAGCAGCTCCTGCAGCACTCTGCAGCAGCGAGCTGTGCGTCTCACGTGTCTCATGATGCAGCTGCTGCAGCCCTGGCCTGCTGCTACTGCAGCATCGCAGCAGCAGGGTTCCTCCTCAGCAGCTACTTCTGCTGCAGTTGCTTCAGCAGCAGCAGCAGCTGCTGCTGCTGCAGACGCCCCCGCAGGGTCCACATGCTGCCCGTCCGCGCCCGAAAGCTCCCGTTGCTGCTGCTGCTGCTGCTGCGGGGGAAGCTGCAGTGCAGGAACTGTGTTTGCTGCAAGCGCACCTGTTGCAGCAGCAGCAGCTGCTGCTGCTGCTGCAGTGGTCGGAGCCAGGGGGTCTGAAGCCGTTATGATGATCGGCACCCTACAGGCAGCCGCGGGAGCAGCAGCAGCAGAACCCGGTGCTCCACTTGCTGCTGCTGCTGCTGCTGCTGGCTCGCTGCTGACAAATAGTTCTGTCATATGGAAACGAGAAGAGGGTTGAGAAGCACCCCCTGAGCTCGTGCTGCTGCCGCTGCTGCTGCTTTGCTGCTGCTGCTGCTGCTGCTGTGCTGCGGCTGCAACTAGTCCAACGCTGTGGCTCTTTACCGCCCAGCCCTTGACAATACAATGGCAGCAGCTGCTGCTGCTGCTCGTTCTGCTGCTGCTGCACCGCCAATAAGGCCTAGACAACGCCTGCTGCTCTTGCCTGCTGCTGATTCAGCCTTTGCTGGCGCTGCCTTTGCTGCTGCTGCTGCTGCTGCTATTAACTGCCGTTGTGAAAATGTCCCTACAAGCCCCAAGAATGCTGCTGTGAGGCTGCTGCTGCTGAAGTAAACGCTGGTGCTGCTGCTGGAGCTGCTGCAGACGCTGCTGCGGCTTTACTGCTGCCGTTGCTGCTGCTGGCGCAAGACGTGTCTCTGCCACCGGAGGAAATAAATGGGCTTGTGTCTCTGAGATTTTCCTCAGAAGAGAGGGCGCACCAGCTGCAGCAGCAGCAACGACCCGAGAAGTTGTTGCATCTGCTGCAGCAGCAGCGGCCGCAGCAGCCGAGACCAATCACCCCTACAAAGGAAACTCTCTCTCTAATGCTTTCACCTCTGGCCTAAACCCTAAGCCGTTAATTCTTAATCTTAAATAAGGGTTTAAAGAGAGAGAAGGTGCTGCAGCAGAGGCCACAGCGCCTGCATGGCGAGCGACACAGGGCTTGGCTGCTGCTGCTGCTGCAGCTGCAGCTGCAGCTGCAGTTGCTGCTGCTGTTGCTCTTCAAGTCTACACCCAAAGAGGCTTTTCGCGCGCAGTGTCTAACAGGCCTTCTCAAAGCAGCACAGTTACAAGCAGCAACAGCAGCAGCAACGGCAGCAGCAGCAGCTCCAGAGCCCGCAGCAAGCTGCAGCAACACAGCCTGTTCTGCTGCTGCACACCTTTTCTTTCTTTCTTAACAATCTTCTTTGCTGCAGCAGACCTTCAGAGGCCTCAGAAGTCTTCTAGGGCCCTTTGGGGGCCCCCGCAGCTTCTGCAGCACACACAAACTGCTGCTGCCTGTGGGGGCCCCCAGCTGCTGCATGCAGCAAAAGTATTAGGGCCAATTTGTCGCAACTTGTGCAGCACTTGGCAGCAAAACAGGTCCATGTGCAGCAACGGAAGCAGCTGCTTCTGCTGCAACTGCTGCAGCGGGTAGCAGCAGCAGCTGCTGCTGGTGCAGCTGGGCGCAACAGCAGCAGCAGCTGCTGCTGGTGCAGCTGGGCGCAACAGCAGCAGCAGCTGCTGCTGCTCCCAGCTTCTTCGCTGCTTGCCCGGGTCTTGAGATGCCGGCGCCACGGGGTCTTTGGCAACAACAGCAGCAACAACAGCAGCAGCAGCAGCAGCAGCAGCAGAGTTTTGTGGCAGCGAGTCTAGGTACTTTTAGTTGGGGAGAAAATATAAAATAGGCAAATTGCTGCAGAATTGAATCTTAGAGATGAATTTGCTTCTGAACAGTTCATTTAATTTCCTAAATTGTCGAAAAATTTTAAAATTGATTTAATTAAAGTTAAAGTTTGCTTTTTTCTTTTACTTCGAAGCAGCAACTGCACGAGCCATCTGAGCAGCAAACTGGTGTGCTGCTTCGTTTTGCTGCAGTTTTGAAAATTAGTTTGTAAAATTAATTCTAAAATGAACAAAAGACATTTTAAATAGTTGAAAAACTTAATTTAAACGAATTGACAATTAGGGGCCCCTCAGAGCCTTTTATTCTTCTGAAGTGGGGCCTCGGTGCCCTCTCTGAGCCTTGTATCACTCTGCTGCTGCGGCTGCTGCTGCTGCTGCGGCTGCTGCTGCTGCGGCTGCTGCTGCTGCGGCTGCTGCTGCTGCGGCAGCAGCAGGAGAGTGACTCAGCTGTAGCAGCAGGACTATGGGAGGGGGGACAGTCGCCTTTTAGAATGACAGCAAAACCAGCAGCAAGACTCCAGGCTGCCGCTGCTGAAGATACTCCTGCTAAAGCAGCAGTAGCAGCTGCTGCTGCTGCTGCAGTATTGGCTGCCGGCTGCAGCAAGCAGCAGCAAAACTCGTGTTGCACTTGATCAGCAGCAGCTGCAGCGCCGGAGAGCAGCAAAATGCGGAAGGCCTCCAGGCAAAATGTTTTATTTGCTGCTGCTGAATATATCCTCAGCAGCAGAAAGCTAATTAAATTAATTTAATTTCTTTTCAAGAAGTACTTTAGTCCTATTCTTCTTGAATTTCTCCTTTCGCTCTCTCTTTCCATTTCCTTTTGCATTTCTGCCTCTAAACTTAATTTTGAACTTAATTTTAAATTCAATTTCAAATTTAATTTTAAATTTAATTTTAAATTTAATTTCAAATTTAATTTAAATTCAAAAAGACTTTTCAGATTTGCTGCCGCATGCGCTTTTGCAAAAGTTCAAAATTGGCTTTTGCAGAATCGGTAACATTTCAAATTTTAATCTTTTTGATAAAATTAGTTTTAAAATAAATTTGATTTTAAAAATATTTCAAAGTTTGTTCCATTTTGCAAAGTAGTTCAAAAAATCAATCCATTTTCAGGAACATTCCAAAACAAATTCCCTCAACTCCAAAGTTGCAAAACTTGAAACTCTTTGAGTCTCTTTGTCTCCTTTTTCCAAAAGAAAATAAACAAATGGTATTTTTCAAAATCGGAATTTATTTTCAAAATGTAAAACTCCCTTTTATTGATTGAAGTTTCAAAAAGAGTTTCCAAAAATGCTCTTATTGGTGTAGAATTCAATTGTGGGGAAACGTTTGCGTATTTGCACTGCAGCAGCTGCAGCAGCAGCAGCAGCAGCTGCTGCTGCTGCTGCAGCAGCTGCTGCTGCTGCTGCAGCAGCTGCAGCAGGAAGCAAAAGTGCTGCTGCTGCGCCAATTCTGCGGAGTCTTTAAAACCCACTGGCCCCACAGGCTCTGCAGGTCTTTGCTGAGTCGATTTATCTTCTAAAGCTTCTAAAATGAATTATTTATTTCATATTGAGGAATTTATTTTTTAAATATTTAAATAAATATTTAAAATATGAATTACGATGCAGCGAAAGATAAGCAGCAAAATGCGAACAAAGACTGCAGCCCCAGACGCAGCAAAGTGGGGGGAAGATTTGCGACAGCAGCAGCAACTCAGCAGCAGCAGGGCCCGTAGACTCAATTTAAACGCTCAAAAGCCTTTTAAAGTACTTTATAAACTTATTATTTATTAGTAAATAATAAAGATGGCAAGTAAATGGCAAAAGTTGCAGGAAAATACCACAAATGGCAAAGTTCAGCAAAGAGGCTTTTCCCATACACACCCCAAACCCCCCTCAGAGAAGTTTGGAGGAAATCTGGTGTGAACATGAAAACTCAGAAATTGGTAAAGAGACTCTTTGATGGCTTTTGAGTCTTTTTGGGAAGTTGTGGCTCTAAAAAGCACAATTGCGGTGCCTTTGGGGCTGTTTTGCTGCTGCTGGGGAGGCCCGGGGGCCCCTCTAAGCCCCAGAACTCGAAAAAGGGTTTTAATGGAACAAATTTGAATAGAAATTTCATTAAAAATGGGACGGAAGACGCAGACGCAGCAAAAGGCCTGCTGCGCACAAGACACAGAGGCAGCGAGCTGCAGCGACGCCTGCAGCAAACTGCTGCTCTCGCTGGCGAGTCAGTTTGAAGGCTACAGACACGAATTTTAAGCTGCTGAGCCTTTTAATAAATGCAAATAATAAAAGAATATAGAGTTGTTTTAACTGCAGCAAAAGCCCTGCGGCCGCGGCCGCTGCTGCTGCTGCGCAGCAGGGAAGGGGCTGCTGCCCGCCTAGGCTGCAGCTGTGGCTGCAGCAGAAGCAGCGACTGCCGTCTTCCGCGTCCAATCCATGATGGCTTTAGAGAAATAGTCGAATTTAATTCTAAATAAGTCATTTAATTTGTTAAAATGAACTGAAGGCTGCAGCAGCAACTGCAACGGCGCCAACGCAGGCGATCCACGGCAGCAGCAACTGCAGAGCCGCTGCTGCTGCTGCTGCTGCTGCTGTGGACCGCTGGCTCAGGCCACAGGTTCATCCATTAGGGGCTAGCTCGGGGGGTCAAATTCAAGAGTTATTAGGAGGCAGCAGTTGCTATTTGCTGCAGCAGTTGGACTGTTCCTCGGCTTGGGCAGCGTCGGTTTGCTGCTGCTCTTCCCTTCCCGCACTGACGCCTGGCGCTGCTGCTGCTGCTGCTGCTGCGGCTGCTGCTCGCGCTGCTCCCGGCGCTGCTGCTTATGTCTCTAAGCTGCTGCTTTATCTGGCCGTGTTCGCTGCTCCCAGTGCAGCAAGTGTACAGAGTGTGCGTCCGTAACACCTGTATGCCGTTGCTGCTGCTGCAGTGGCGGCAGCAGCAGCAGCAGCAGCAGCAGC